GGGACGGACTTAATGTTGCGGTTGACAAACTAGGGTTAGAATCTCTGTGAAAAGGGCCAAGCCAGGGATTGGAAGCCCACCCAGAGTTTCTAGAAACCTAGGGAAGCGTCTGGGAGAGACTGCTTTGCAGCTGACAAGGTTTCCTGCATGCATCTTAGGGGTTCTACTTCATTCAAAGCTGTCCTCAGGGCACCAGCACTCCCTCCTCTAATACAGGGCAAGAGCCAGTTCCTGATTTTCCCATCTTACAGAATATTCTGTGCATCCAGAGCGTTTGTTACAAACAGGAAGTGCTTCTGACTGGCATGTACGTGCTCCTCCAGGAACCCAAGGAGCCCAGGAGGCAGAAACAGCATGCACAAACCTGATTAGAGGGCCTGCCCTTATTCTATTGCTTATTCTTCTGCCAGAATGATCCTGTGGGTAATGTTCTCTTTTACTGCTAGAGATATCTGGATGTGCTTTACATTAAAACAAGGTGCCATGGCCAAATTTTCTTTCTCTTCCAGCTTTATCTTCTTCTGTTGTTTAAGTTCTATGTTGGTCTTGAATGAAAGTGCCCCTTGACAGAGTACCATGCAGTCCGGAATGTTCGAGAAAACTTGGTTTTGGGTTGGCCTGAGTTTGAAGGCAGAGAATTGTGGGAACATGGTAGCCTTAGAAGAGGACAGAGGCCAAGTCCCCCGAAACAGTCGGGAGGCTTTGGCCATACACCAGAATGTATGCTCTGTGGAAATATTGTGTGTTTTTGCATACTGGTGTATCCCAAATGCCTAAAGCAGTGCCCAGTAGGTAGGAGGTATTCACTCAAGCCTGGTGGAGAGGCTGAGAGGATGAGTTAGAACATGAGCATTGCACAGGGAGAGAAAAAGTTGGCTCGGGTGGATAGAGAACGCAAAAGCTGGCGGGGAAGGAACAAGGGATTTGAGAACACAGAAAAGGGCAGAAACAGGAAGCGTATTTCAAGCAGGGGCTGAAATCTGAAGAGAGTTGCATTAACAAGGACAGGCTCAGCTGTGGGATAAGCAATGGCTTCTGTTAGGTCAGTGGTGTGCCTGGCAAACAGATATGAACGTTAAATTAGAAAGCCCCATTTGTCTTTCAAACCTCTCCTGCAATGGCAGCTCCTCTGAAGCCTTTCCTCATCAGCCAGCCCTGAAGTGAACGGTTTTCCTTAGGAATTTTGTCCCTGGTCTCCCCTGTCAGGCTAACGCCGTTAGTTTTCTGTGTGTCTTTCTTAGTTCCCTTCTCAGGGTAAATCCTGAGAAAATCAAGCTTGTCATACAGCTAGTTAAGTGGCAGGAAGGGCCACTGGACCCTTCAAGTCCAAAGACCGCAGGTTTGTCCATGGAAAAGGACTGGCAACGAGTGACTTGGTGTTATGATGTGGGGTAGTGATTCTCCCGTTTACCCTTTCCCTCTGGCAAAGCAGCACAACTACTCTGTGGACTGCAAATCAGTGTTGTGTGTGCAGAACCTTTTACAATTTTCCTACGGCGTTGTTTTCAGGAATCAATATATTCCAGATACTGAACTTCGTTGGTTCTATTTCTCACAAATATGTCCTTCCTGTTTGTGTCTTGTCTCTCACATCGCTTGTATTTGAAGGTATCAGGCGTCCTGTAGCTAGAAGCTGATGAGCTACTCATCAGCGAAAGGGTAGATAGCCTGATTTTCTCATTTTACATGAAGTACCTTTATATTTTACTACTTAGGAAATGCTTGTTGATACTGACACTGATAAGAAGTTAATGGGGCACCTGGGTGGCTCAGTGGGTTAAGCTTCTGCCTTCGGCTCAGGTCATGATCCCAGGGTCCTGGGATCGAGCCCTGCATCGGGCTCTCTGCTCAGCAAGGAGCCTGCTTCCTCTTCTCTCTCTCTGCCTACTTGTGATCTCTGTCAACTGAATAAATAAAATCTTAAAAAAAAAAAAAAGTTAAAAAAATATTTATATATAGGTAGGAAGCCAAGAGAGTAAAACACTGACAAAGCAGTATTCAGTAAACACTGATATAACTAATGCAAAGTTAAGTCACAGAGCAAATGCTTGTCGGAACTTAAGGTACTCACATTTCTCCTGAGAATGGGAAGTCCTGGAGTTGATAAAAAAAGAAAGGCTGGGGGTAGGAGCTTGTTGAGGCAGCCCCAGGAGCTCTTTTCTCTTTTCCCTTTTCCCCCGGGCCATCCAAAGCAGATAAACCACTTTCATAGCATTTAAATGCCTTATCAAACTTATATTCCGCCACCTCGGAGTTTACAGAGTCTGAAACGCCAGGAGCAAGCATGGCGAGGCAGCTATCGCGAGGGTGGGGGGCGGGAAGCTGACGCCTGCCTGAATGTAACCCGAAGCACCTGCGCCCATTGGAGCTCCAGCCGTGGGCACAACTGTTGGGAGCAGTGAGAAACCAGGTAGTGATCCCAGTTACTAGGAGCGGTAGTGGTGGTGGGATCCTCCATTCTCTTCCATTCTCTGGCCCTTCCCCCGCTGCTGCCTGCATGCGGTTGTGTAGATTTATCTCTCTCTCTCTCCATATATATATATATATATACATATATATATATATATATATATATATATATGGAGTGTGTGTGTGTGTGTGTGTACTTTAAAAAAAAAATAATCTCTATACTCAGCGTGGGGCTTTGCAGTCTCAACCATGAGATCAAGAGCCCTAACTTCCCCGACTGAGCCAGCCAGGCGCCCCTATGTCTATATATTTTAAAATTACTCCAGTTTCAGTGGCGCCTGGATGGCTTAGTCAGTGAAGCATCTGCCTTCAGCTCAGGTTCATGCCACAGTCCTGGGATCGAGTCCCATGTCGGGCTCCCTCTGCCCCTCCTTTCACTCGTTCTCTCAGTCTCTCTTTTGCTCTCACGTGCGCTCTCTCTCAAATAAATAAATAAATAATACTCCAGTTTCACCCCTCACTATGCTAACTTTCTTGACTTGTTTGTGCCTCAGTGTTCCCATCTATGATATGAGGATTCTCATTGTAGCTATCTCAGCATTGCCAGGACAACTGCAAAATGCAAAGCACTCCAAGCAGTGCCTAGCACATAGGAAGCACCCATTAATGGTATTCTTGCAGAGAAAGGCAAATAGTATTTCCCTTGTATGTGGAATCTAAAGACCCAAACAATGAATGAACAAACAAACAAGAAGACATATGCCCATAAATACAAAAAAACAAAGGGACTTTGTCAGAGGGGAGTGGGATGGGCAGAAGGACAAAATGGGTGAAGGGGAGTGGGAGACATGGGCTTCCAGTTATGGAATGAATAAGTCGGGGTGGGGGGCAGTGGCGGGGGGAGTGAAAGGTACAGCACAGGGAATATAAACAGTGGTGTTATAACAGTGTGGTGGGGTATGGCAGGTGGTAGCTACATTTGGGGTGAGCCCAGCCTAATGTACAGACATGCAGAATCACCGCGTTGTTCATCTGAAATCAAAGTAACGTTGTGTGTTAAATATACTTCAGTTAAAATGAAGAAGGAAAAGGGGCGCCTGGCTGGCTCAGTTGGAGGAGCTCAGGATTCTGGGTCGTGAGTTCGAGCCCCACCTTGGGTATAGAGATGACTTTAAAATAAATAGAACTTTGGAGCACCTGAGTGGCTCAGTGGGTTAAAGCCTCTGCCTTCGGCTCAGGCCATGATCCCAGGGTCCTGGGATCGAGCCCTGCATCAGGCTCTCTGCTCAGCGGGGCGCCTGCTTCCTCCTCTCTCTCTGCCTGCTTCTCTGTGATCTCCGTCTGTCAAATAAATAAATAAAATCTTTAAAAAAAAAAAAAAAAGCATCTGCCTTTGGCTGGGGTTGTGATCCCGGGATCCTGGGATCAAGCCCCACATCGGGCTCCCTGCTCAGCAAGGAGCCTGCTTCTCCTCAGTGAGGAGCCTGTTTCTCCCTCTCTCTCTCTGACCCTCCTCCCCCATTCATACCCTCTCTCTCTCTCTAATAAATAAAATCCTAAAAAAAAAAAAAAATAGAAATTAAAATGCTGTTCTTGTAAGACCATAGCATTCTTGGTCTAACAATTTTATTAATACAGGTCCAAGAAAAAAAAGTAAATCTTTCCCCTCTGTCTCTATCTCCTTGTCATCTCTTAGCTAAAAAAACTAATTTCCCCTCATACCTATATACTGCAAATCTACCCACACATATATGTAGTTTCTTTCTTTGTCTTTTTTTTTTTTTTTAAGTAATGTTTATACCCAACATGGACCTCAAACTCACAGCTGCAGGATCTAGAGTTGCAAGCTCCAGCTGAGCCAACCAGATGCCCCTCTTTCTTTGTCTTTTATAAAAATGGGTTCACATTTACTTCATTTTATGAGCTAACAGTATATCACAGATATCTTTTTTCTGGGTGACTATATATAGTTAACTCTTAATTGTTAACAACATACTAGTCTTTGGTCTATATATACCGTAATTTATTCAAATACTCCCCATAAATAGTCAGGTTGTATCCAATTTTTGCTGATGAAAAGAATAAAGCAATACACATCCTTGTTCCTGTATCCTTATGTCCTGATGCTTTTAGTCTGTAAAACAGATTCCCCAAAATGGAGAGCTAGATCAAAAATTTATGTGTTTTTGTTTGTTTGTTTGTTTGTTTGTTTGTTTTTTGAGAGAGAGTGAACAGAGAGGGAAGGTGGAGAGGGAAAAAGAATCCTAAGCAGACTCCATGCCGACACAGGGGTCGATCTCACAATCCTGAGATGGTGACTTGAGCTGAGATCAAGAGTCAGTCACTTAACCAACTGAGCCACCCAGGTGCCCCAAAGATTTATGTGTCTTTACAATTTTAAAAGATTCAGCCTGATTACTCTCCTCAAAGGTGGATGCAATTCGTATTCTCACCAGCAACATGCCAGTCTTCCTGCAGTCTTAATAGACCTCAGTATTCCTTGTCTTAAATTGTTTTGCCAATCTTTTTTATTTCTTTTAAAGATTTTATTTATAAGTAATCTCTACACCCAACGTGGGGCCTAAACTGACAACCCTGAGATCAAGACTTGCACCCTCCACGGACTGAGCCAGCCTGGTGCCGCAGCTTTGCCAATCTGATGGGTAAATAATAATATCTCTCTCTCTTTTTTTTAAGATTTTATTTATTTATTTAACAGAGAGATCACAAGTAGGCAGAGAGGCAGGCAGAGGGGGTGGGGGAAGCAGGCTCCCTGCTCAGCATAGAGCCTGGTGCGGGTGCGGAGCTCGATCCCAGGACCCTGAGATCATGACCTGAGCTGAAGGCAGAGTCTTAACCCACTGAGCCACCCAGACGCCCCTAATATCTCATTTTAATGTGCTTTTCCAGAGGGCATTTCCCTAAAGTGCTGGGCAGGGCACTTGCTCGTTTGTTTTTTGTCATTGGCATTTTTTCCTCCTTGTATAGCAGCAGTGGCCTTGAGTTTTCTGTTGCATTGTCTTTTTCTGTTTATAGGCATTCTTTGGGATTTTAACCCTTTGTGATAAGAGTTGCAGATACCTTCTCCTAGCTGATTGTCTTTTGACTTTGTTTATGGTGCCTTCTGGTACACACAAATTTTTAATTTTCATGTGGCTTTATCTGGCAAGCTTTTCCTTCATGGTTTCTAAATCTCTAGTCTTTCTTAAAAATATTCTCTATCTTGAGGTTATACAAATTCTCCCTTTAGAGCTTTACTCTGCCAGGAATTTATTGCTCTATGTTGTGTGTTTGTGGGATACTGGAAAAAAAAAACACTCAAAATACGTATTGAATATAATAGACGCACTGAAAAGTGCACAAATTCGAAGTGGCTTGTCACAGACTTGTGTGATCAGCACCCAGATGAAAAAATAGAACATTGCCAGTACCCCCAAAACTCCTTCTCATCACTACTCCTTGACAAGGGGGACCACTATCCTGACTCCTAACACCTTATATTAGTTTTCTAAGGGGTTAATTCCATCTTTAGTAGGTGACTGCATCACCTACTGCCTAACAAAGTAGACTCTCCTTTTTTTTTTAAGTTTATTTATTTATTTAGTAATCTCTATGCCCAATGTGGGGCTTGAAGTCACAACCCCAAGATCAACAGCCCCCTGCTTTGCCAGCAGCGCCAGCCAGGCACCCCTGAAGCTGATTCTTGCCTTGTGGATCCTGGCTTGGCTGCCCTGCAGCTGAAGCTTTGCTTCTTGGTAACTGATTTTCTCCATATACCTTGTGTGTACCTGAGCAGCCAGAAGAGCACTGATCGTCCTGGCCCACGCAGAGAAGACATCCTTCAACTATGCCATGAAGGAGGCTGCGGTGGAGGCCTTGAAAAGGAAAGGATGGGAGGTCATTGTGTCGGACCTATACGCCATGAACTTCAATCCCGTCATCTCCAGAAAGGACATCACAGGTAGGAGCAGCTCCCTCCTTTCATGAGGTCTCCGTGGCACGTCTCAGCTGTGGGTTCTCTGGCCCTGCCTGGGCCCTTTTGGCTCTAACCTATCTTTTTCCTCGAGGCAGGCACACTGAAGGACCCAGGGAACTTTCAGTATCCTGCTGAGTCTGTTCTAGCTTACAAGGAAGGCCGTCTGAGCCCGGATATTGTGGCGGAACAAAAGAAGCTGGAAGCCGCGGACCTTGTGATTTTTCAGGTGTGGTCAGACATCAGAAGAAGTGTCGGGACGCTTGAGTTCTTACTGCCCGAGCCCGGTCACCTCGTTAGCTATGTGATCTTAGGAAAGTCAGTTACCCACTTGAGTGCATTCTCTGTAAAGAACGGTGATGACTTCAAAGGTGCGCTATTACACAGATTGATAGACCCGGTGCACCTGGCCGTACTCCTCTATGGGAGGAGTGGCTACAGAAATGACACCAGAGCCTGGCACTTTTCTTCAATTAGGGATTCCTTGTGGGATTTCTCCCAGTTTGCTGTTGTCCCCCTTTTCTGCATCAGCACCCCGAGGGGTCTGCCGAGGGAAGCATGGGAGAGAGACCTCTGGGAGCCTTCCAGCTGAAGGGCCTGCTGCCCTGCTTAATGTGTTCCAGCTGCAGAGTGGGGCCTTTCTTCTCCTGGAAGCTGTCTCCCTGCTAGGCAGTCAGTACTGGACATGCATATGCTTCTTGTTAGGCCTCTCTCCTGAAAATTCCAGACTGGACTCAGTGGCTTTGCTTCTCCCGGTTCTAGCCAGCTTTTTGATACTAAACATGGGGTGTCTGTGACACTAGAAACAGCACAGGGAGGGTGCCGCCAGCTGTGGTTTTTGCAATTATTCAATTAGCTGCAAAGAATCCAAACTTTTAGGTCTTTTATTCGACCCTCAGGCCTGCTGCTATAGATCAAAGCCACACGCCATTAGCCAGTGTCCCGTGGAATGCCTTCTTGGGGGCGCGTTTTCTGCTGCATTGTATCCTGGTGCAACCAAGGCAGCGGCAGAAGCAGCTTTCAAGTCTGCATCTCGTATTTTAGAATTGGAGTGGATCTTGGGGGTTTTTAATTTAGCTTCTATCTGACACGTAAGTTTAATTTACTATAAGTACAACCGCACAGGTTGTGCACTGCCAAATAGCAACGTCAAAGGGCAATGTATATACACTGCAGATTTGTAGATTTATTATAACATGTTACCAACAGACGAGAGGCAAAGTCTTACTATAGAAGAATCAGTGTACTATGAATGATAGTCTTTCAACATAGAAATAGTGTCCTGAGGAGGAACACTTTAATTCAAACCGAGGTGCCATGCGGGCTAGCCTCTTGCTCACTTTCCTCACTTCTCCACGAACAACCAGAGGAAGAATACTCTCTCAATATCCTGCAAGCCAAGCAATTCTATTTTCAGCTCTGACTATAGAACATTCACAGGGATCAAATCTACTTGTCTAAACAACCTACTCATTTCTCTTAAAAGCTGCAGGTCTGGCCCCTCACTGTTGCAGAGTCATCAATATAAGAAGCCTCTAGAGGTTACTCAAGCCCCTCTTTCCACAAGTGAGGCACATGAGACTTAGGGAAAGTAAGGGGCTTATGGGGCAGAGGTCTTACATCACATCAGTGGCAGAATCAGGGTGAGAACACAATCTCGTGTTCTTTCTGTTTTAAAACCCAACTCCCAGGGCGCCTGGTTGGCTCAGTGGGTTAAAGCCTCTGCCTTCAGCTCTGGTCATGATCCCAGGGTCCTGGGATCGAACCCCACATCGAGCTCTCTGCTCGGCGGGGAGCCTGCTTCCTTCTCTCTCTCTCTCTGCCTACCTCCCTGCCTACTTGTGATCTCTGTCTAATAAATAAATAAAAACCTTAAAAAAAAAAAAAACCTAACCCCCTTTGCCCCTCTCCTGTAGGTCAGTAACTATTCAAAGTATCAGAGAAAGATATCAAGTCAAGGAGTGTCAAGTTGACTGACCAAGGACAATAATTTTAATGTGCTAACTCCTCCAGAAGAAATGACAAGGGCCCGACCAAGAAAGGTTTGCCTGTGACATCCCAGGCAGCAGCTAAGCACCTGAGCCACCTTCTGATCTGACCCCTTTGTCCTCTGTCCCACAGTTCCCACTGCAGTGGTTTGGAGTCCCTGCCATCCTGAAAGGCTGGTTCGAGCGAGTGCTCATAGGGGAGTTTGCTTACACATATGCTGCCATGTATGACAAGGGACCTTTCCGGGTAGGTGGATAGTTCTGCTTTCTCTGTCAGCTAGATTCTGGGTCAACTCTCTTCTGAGGCAGGGTCTTGAACAGATATGAAGAGAGATCCTGGGAGAGATGGATCGGAAAGTTTTTAGAGGTATTTAGACATGACTTTAGGACTTGCTTTAAAATAACCTGGGGAGGTGCCTCTTTAGCACAGTAGGTAGCACATCAGTCTCATAAAATAGCCCGGGAACCTAAGGGGCAAGGGTTTGAGTTATAGCTAATACTGAGAGTTGAAGCTGGGGTGGTGGTGTGTGTGTGTGTGGAAGCATCATTATACTATTTTCTCTATGTATGACATTTTCTGTAATAAAAATAAAAAAAAGAAAGTCTATCTTTAGTTTTTTAGAGACCCAACTACTACACAAGAAATATTTTGAGGCCTCCTGGATTCCATGACTAAGTACATGTGTAGCACTGCGGGGAGACAGGTAGAAACAATAGAGTTCTACTTGGGCGCCAGCAGTCCACACTGGTTTTGTAGTTCCCCCAATTTGCCACCAGTAGTATGGAATCCTTGGCTAGCCCTGGCTGTGACTCCTGGAGTCCCACTGAGTAGCTCAGTGGAGTCAATGTGTAGCTGGGCGGACTTGGGTGTTCTTTTCCCAGGGGCTGTTTTGTTAACTTCCTGTCACCATGGAGCTGTGGAGGGAAACAATGACTTGCCTTTTGCAGAATAAGAAGACCGTGCTTTCCATTACCACTGGTGGCAGCGGCTCCATGTACTCTCTGCAGGGTGTCCACGGAGACATGAATATCATTCTCTGGCCAATTCAGGTTACTTTGTTTTCAATGAACCTTCGGGGGGGGGGGGTGGCTAATTAACTGAGGTTTCTGTGGGGTCCAGATCCTCAAGATCACTGCTGAAAATAGACCTGAGGGGTAAGGAGGAAAGCAATGTAATAATTCAGAACTCCAGGGACAGGGAGCTCCCTTTAAGGCCCTGCTTGTCTTCCCAGGCCCCCTTATTGCAAGAAAAACTTGAATTTTTCTTCCAAACATTGCTGCCTCCTAACCAAGGGCTCGTGCATGTAATCCCTAGATTCATATAGCCATGTGCCCCCATTCTCTCCAGATTACTGACCTCTCTCTCCAAGCTTCCTGGCCTTCTCCAAGTTGCTGCTACAGCCTCACAAACTCTTAGAAAATTGTAAGAAATGATTTAGTCCAGAGTGAAGTGAGAACAAAAGTGAAGAATGAGGTAGGCTTTTTTGGGGTTGGTCACTGGACTATCAAGATAATCTCTTCCAAGGAAGAGGGCTGGAGAGAAGAGCAAATGAGGTGGCCATCTGTAAGAGTGAGCCATTAATACTGGAGAATAAATTCTAAGAATCACTTACGGAGGCTCATCTGGTCAAATGGAGAGGCGGAGAAAGGCGCATCTGCGTGCCTTGGCAAGTCAGCTGCCAAGAAGCTGAAACTCCCTTATGTAATAGAACTTCCGGTATTTTTGGCAGAGGATCCCAGGCTGGCAGGGTTTCAAGGTTTTATTCATTTAAAAAGGAGCTCAGCTGAATAGGCTAAGATAGGTAACAGCTAGGAATAGAGTGCAAATGAGAGAAAATATCTATGAATTGATTCTCCAGAAGGGCTCAGGTCCCCATATCGAAGTGTCTTAATGGAAAACCTAGATTAGCTTTTGTTGTTTGTATATGGCACAAGCTGTGTAGGCTTTGTTCTGTGACTCATATTTGTGCTTTTGTGTATCCCCAGAGTGGCACTCTCCATTTCTGTGGCTTCCAAGTCTTGGAACCTCAACTGACATACAGCATTGGGCACACTCCTATGGATGCCCGAATTCAGATCTTGGAAGGATGGAAGAAACGCCTGGAGAATATCTGGGATGAGACTCCACTGTATTTTGCTCCAAGTAGCCTCTTTGACTTAAACTTCCAGGCAGGATTCTTGATGAAAAAGGAAGTGCAGGATGAGCAGAAAAATGAAAAATTTGGCCTTTCTGTGGGCCATCATTTGGGCAAGTCCATCCCAACTGACAACCAGATCAAAGCCAGAAAATGAGACTCACAAGACTTGGTTTCTTTATAAAATGCAGCAAAATTGAGGTTTCTTATTCAGACTTCCTTGACTTGCTTTAGTCTTTAAGGTGGGTTTCTTTTTCCACAGGGAATGAATCGGGGACAGAATAGACTGTATTAATATATTTTTGGTTAGTTTTCTTTCCGATTCTTATGATTGCTATCTTGGCAAAATCTGGTTAGGCTCAAGAGGTCATTTAGGTTATAAAGCAGGGCAAGAAGTAGAAAGATGCCAGACAATAATCTTTATGGTCCTCTACACGATTTAATTCCTCTTATTAGGGATACATTCTTAGGGCCAAATGTGGCAAGGCAAAATCCAACTCTTCAATGATATATTTTTCTTTTAATCACCTCTCTGTGGCTTATGGCAGAAGGGAATTGCTCAGAGAAAGAAATGACCGAATCTGTCTGACCCAAGGGACTTGTTTAGTAGTTTGTAATCTATGCTTGTTTATGGTATTGGTTTTAATTACTGCACAGTGACTAATATGCCTAATGTTTTACTCTTGCTTCAACCTCTGTTGTTTGTATACAGTACCTACAGATACCTTCAAGTAAAAGATAATAGAAGTCTCTTTTTTATTTCTATCTTCTAATTTAATGTCTGCAGAAATAAGCCAACACCTCTGTACACTACATCTGCTGCAATGAATGAATTCAGGAAGTAGTTACTCCCGGTACTTAGCAACAGCCTTCTCCAAATAGTATTTTATTTCTGAGCTATATAACATACTGGAAGGTTTCCCTCTATCATTGCTAAACTGATGACTTTCCTTTTGGATGCATTTTGGTCCCACAATTTTGGGGATGAAATTGTAATCCTAGAGTTTCATTAACTGAACAATTTTGACATTAATATTCCAACTTCCAATTTCAATTATTAAAGTCGGGCTCACTGTCAGTATAACTCAAGTAGAATATGATGAAATGCCGCCCTCTTGTGGTGCACTGAAAGAAAACAGGAGAGATTAGGCAAAGCCAGGTTGCCTGAAACTGCGAACAGGTCCTGGACCTGCCAAGAAAATGAGGGCGGCAGACCAGAGCCTCATGTGCTAGATGCTGACAGGTACTTGGGTATTTTTCCCTCTACAATACACACAATGGCATATGGCTAGGTGCTTCAGTTTGAAAAATATTTTCTTGTTACCTTCATGCTCACTGCAATTTTGTGTAAATTTCTAAAAGTTCCCAGTGAAATAAATAAAACCCATTTCTATAAACAGACCCACTCACTGGTTTCAGTGAAGCTACTGATAGAGGCATACAGGCAAAAGTGGAATCTACTAGGGAAGATGGGATTAGAGCATGCAATAAGAAATTATGGCCCCAGGTGCCTGGCTGGCTCAGTCTGAGATGCAGCTCTTGATCTCAGAGTTGTGAGTTCCAACCCTATGATGGGTGGAGAGCATTCCTTAAAAATAAAATCTTTAAAGACAAACGGCCAGAAGCCTATACAACTTGAGAGCTCTCCCAACGGGCTGTTTCATATTGAATGGTAATGGAACAACCTATTAAGGTCCTTGCAGGGAATCTACAGGACATTGAGAGAGATCCAGGTAAGAATGTTATAGAAATTAAGAAAAAAATAGAATTCAGTAAACTCATGCCTAGGGGCAGCAGTATCTATTGTGATTTGCCTGATTTATTCTGATTTTATCTAGTCACTGGGCTAGGTACTCATCTAGGCACTGGGAGCACAGCAATGAACAAAACCAAGTACCTCATGCTAGGAAGAAAGAGCAGGCTAAGAGAGAGATGGGATATGAGTAGTTTTGTTTTATAAAGACTTCCTTGATAAGGCTCCGTTTGAGCAAAGACCTGATAAAGTGAGAGAGAGATGCAGATGCGTGAAGGCAGGCACTCTAGGCAGCAGTGATGGCAGAATGCACATATCTGAGGCAGGAGCATGTACAGTGTGAGGAAGAGAGAGGACAGACGTTCACATGACTAAAGCAGAGAAAGGAGGAGTGGCCTGGGTCAGCCACATAGCTGGAATCAGCTCACACAGAGCCTTACGAGCTCTGTAAGTATATAAGAATAGAAAGTGGCTGGAGAGTTTTGGGCAGAGCTATAATATGACTCATGTTTAATGCTGGCTGGTAGGGAGGAATCAAGTATAAGAGTGATGGAAGCATGGCTTGTGCTTATGGGACAGTGTGACAATCTACTTAATAAATGCTTTGAGCAACAGAGGTGTCAAGTAGAAGACGTATTTATAAGGTTCAATGTATCTCAAAGGTTGGCATAACAGTAGTTGATAAAGGATCGTATCTAGGTCAAATAAAAACCTCAAAGGTATTTTGGCTTAAGCAACTAAAAGAATGGAAACTCCATTTGCTAAGATGATCAAGAATCTGGAAAGCATATTGAGGGCAGAAGTTGGGGTCAGGAAGGGTGAATCAGAATGTGACTTCAGGCATTCTATATTTGAGATAGATGGTAATAGGTACCTGGAGTTTGGGGAGAAGTTATGACTGGAGGCATACATATGGAAATCTTCAACATAGAGAGCAACGTCAAGGATGAGATTACCACTGCAATAATAAAGAGATCTGATGATTGACCTCTAGGGCTCTCCAGTGTTAGGAGGTCAAGAAGATGAGTATGAAAGAAATTACCCAGCAGAGCGGGAGATCGGAGTTGCAGGGCCCTGAAAGCTGAGAGAAGAAAGTGTTTCAAAGAGGGAGTGATCGGGTGTGTCAAATACTACTCATAAGCCAAGTAGGATACGTCTGAGAATGGACCTTTGGATATAGCTAGGTGGAGGCTATTCTGGTGATTTTGACAAGAGATATTTCAGGAGAGTGGTTTCATGAAAGCCTGATTGGAATGGGTTCAAGAAAGAATGGAAGGAGAGGAAATGGAAACTTTGTGTATGGAGTTATGTGGTCAAAAAGTTATTTTTTTAAGAGATAAAGGAAATTATAGCAAATTTATATGCCAGTAGGAATGACTCAGAAAAGATTCTGATGCTGGAGAAAGAAGACAATTAAAGGAACATGTCTTTGATTAAAAAAACAAGGGGGGCACAAAAGGATCTGGGATCTAGCAAACAAGGGCAGAATAGCTAAGTAGTATCAGTACTAGTAATACTAAAACAAGGTTAACACTTATTAGGCACTTACTGTGTGCCAGGAACTAAGTAGTTTTTACATGGATTAATTTACTTCGTTCTTGCAATAACCCTAAGAAAAGGGCTTTATTTTTGTTTCTGCTTTATAAGTAAGGAGATGGAGGAATGGAGAGGTTAAATAACATGTGCAGGAGCCAGAACTCCACTGAGGTGGGCAAACTCAAGAGCCTCTGCTTTCAAGTACTACACTGTATTGCCTCAGCTGAAGCAGGGACAATGGCACCAAGAAAGAGAGCAAGAGTAGCTACCAATACTTTTTTTTTTTTTTTTAAGATTTTATTTATTTATTTGACAGACAAAGATCACAAGTAGGCAGAGAGGCAGGCAGAGAGAGAGGAGGAAGCAGGCTCCCTGCTGAGCAGAGAGCCCGATGCGGGGCTCGATCCCAGGACCCCGGGATCATGACCTGAGCTGAAGGCAGAGGCTTTAATCCGCTGAGCCACCCAGGCGCCCCAATACTTTTTTTTAAATGACATTTTATTTATTCATCAGAGAGAGAGGGCAAGCACAAGCAGGGGAGTGGCAGGCAGAGGCAGATGGAGAAGCAGGCTGCCTGCTGAGCAAGGAGCCTGATGTTGGACTTGATCCCAGGACACTGGGATCAAGACCTGAGCTGAAGGGAGATGCTTAACTGACTGAGCCAACCAGGCGCCCCTCAATACTTCCTCTTGAGAGCAAGACCATTAAGCGTTGCTGTTGAGAAATTGTAGCTGCTTTTATACTTCTAGAGTCCCTGTTGTGTCCTGAGCAGGCATAAATGATGTTCCATTTCTCTTACAGGCCTGATTATATGGCTGCTGAGAATGTGTTTGCTCCTTAAAACATGACATAGTAGTATTCTTATCAGCTTAGAGTAAAGCAGGACAACCACTTCCCCTATTCTGGACACTGTAACAAATTATGTAACCCAGCACTGCATCAGCTTTTCTGGCAGCCACTTAAAAGTCTCAACTTCAGATCAGTCTTTTGCACACACAGGCAAGTTTTAGACCCAAGTATTTTTTTTTTTTTAACCCTCTTATTATTTTTACTTCAAAAAAATTTTTAATTAAAATTTTAGGTCACTAACATACAGTTCAATATTGGTTTATGGAGTAGAATTCAGTGGTTCCTAACTTATATACAACACCCAGTGCCCATCATAACAAGTGCCCTCCTTGATACCCATTGCCCATCTAACCCATCTGCCACCCTTTTTGATATTTATACTTACTGAATTTCATTTCGTTATCACTCCTTTCCAGTGCTGTTGAAGTCAATAAATACCAAAAGAAAACTTTTAAACACATTTAGAACAATGGTAGCATTATTGAAATATATACAGTTTCCTAAAATGACAATTTGTGTTTATATACATCTGGGTATGTTGAAAATTCAGTCACTTTCATAGAATCAACAGACACAGTCTGTATTTGGTAAGAAGGTATAAACATATGATTTAAAGCACTGCTCCTGAAGTTTCATATATTTTTTATTTATATATCATATATTTTTATTTATATATCATACTCATATCTATGTATCATCTGTATTTGTGTTTAATATCAATTACATTTCTCCATAGTCTAGTAGGTGCACATGGATTTTTTTTCTCATTTCAAATACTGCTAGTGCTATGTTATATATACACCACATTTTGGTAAACACCAATTTATATACTTGGAAATAACTGACAGAAGAATGACAAAAAGAGATTATTGCCTCTGGATATTTGACTGAGGGCTGGGGAGATTTCATTTTTAGCAAAATTACCTCTGTGGTACATGATCTGCTACCACGCTAAGTCACTTTGTATGTTGCTGGCAAAACTACTAGGCACAAAGTAAATGCTCAAAAATAGATCTGTATTTCTTACCTTTTCCAAATGATTTTATAACTTCAGCCACATACTCATGTTGCTCAAAACTGACAATCATGGATATGAATTCATTCACAAAGTTTGAGGAAAAAAGACAGTTACCCACTGCAAAATGAAAACTTTCAATGTTTTATTTTTGACTGCAGCTGTTTACAGAAATATAGTTGCGAGTATACAAATGTTCCAATAGAAGCAAAATATCTTTTTAATATTTAACAAGTTATCACAGATAGCTAAAAACATAGATGCAAATGAAATTCCCCCACAGAACAAACTGAAAATATCTGGTGTCAGTGCTCTGAAATCCCAACTATGAAAGCCATATACACAAAAATGTAATCCTTATATCATTGCAGGACAATGGAAGAAGGCAGTTCAGTGGTTGACCAGTGTGCTCAAGCAAAATAAAATAAAAGTAAAAAATTTAAATGGCAGAATGGTAGCTAAAGCACTTGAGAACAGGTTCATGAAATATCTGCACTATGTTAATTAAAAGACTAAGTAAAAGAAGTGCATAAAACTCAGTAAAATTTGACCAAAAAAAGTAGCCACTACTTGGAGCTTATCAATTAGAAGGGAGCAAGGCGAGCCCATACATTCATTAGCTCAAAAGAAATTAGCTCAATGTCACTGGAATCAGTTCGTAGCTACTAAAGTCATAAACACTTCAGTGCAGGACAGTTCTTTATTGGACACATTAGTCTGATTCCAAAGCCACACTCAAACATCTGAGATGGTGTGTGTGTGTGTGTGTGTGTGTGTGTGTGTGTGTGTGTGTGTTGTCCTGAGGTTCATTAGCTAAAATAAGAAGCAACCCCTATAAACTATTTCAAACCAAATTACTTCCGGGGAAAAAAAGAGAGCAAGGATGATATGGTTAAACACAAGTCTTTTAGAAGAGATATTACAAGTTGGAGTCAAATAGAATTGTGGTAGAATTCTTTGGATATAGGAATATATTATGCAATAAAGTGGGGTAGAGGGGAAAGGGAATAAGAAAGAAGGAATGTACCTAGAGCATCTCCCCACAGTTTGCCTATGTATTGCCAGCACCAAGGTTTGTAGAGTAAGCCACTTATATTTCCACTGCTAGTATTAAGCAGAGACAGCAGTGGTGATATTTATAAAGTAAGTATACAATTATTTTTATTTTGAATGTGCATTTTTCTTCCGTGAGTTAATTCTTTGGGTGATTTGTAAACAGTGGAAGGAAGATTACAGCAATAATTATGGAGGTACTGAATACACATGGAGATTAAAATGACTGGATAAATCTACTTATCTTGTTACTTTATATTTACCAGAGGCATACAATTGAGAAAGGAGAAATGCCCAGATTATATAATGCACTGTCTTGTCCAATATTTATTTTAGTAAATAATGCTTGTCTGA